GAGCCACAGCACCACTTCCGGCTTTTTTCTTTTTGCTTATGTGGTGCTGAGGAATCAAACCCAGGGCCTCAGGCATGCAAGGCAAGCGCTCTACCACTGAACCACCTTCCCAGCCCCAGAAAACATTTTTTTTTAAAGCTAGCTGTGCTTATAAACCTGCTCCACTGAAAACTGGTACATAGAATATTGACCCTTTTGTATGTAGGATTGTTTGTTCAGTCAAGTATAACTGAAACTAATGTGTACACTTACAGATTCTACATAGAATGTCTCACTATTGCTCGACCAGACATCACTCTTCTGAGCAGAGGTGGAAAAACTAAATTTAAACCTTGTAGGAACTACCTTACCTGAGAGAGATAGAGATCCTTACACAGTATAGGTTATATTAACCATATCATGTTTGAAATTATGAAATCCAGAGTAGTTGTAACTTATACTCATGGGACCTGTAATATGGCTCAGGGTATTTCGGAAATCTCTATATATTTAAAGTTAATACTTTGACTGAACTATTTATGAAGATTCCTTGGTATTTTTGTTTTCTTAAATTGTTCTTAGTACTAGTATTGTAGTAGCAGTAGTTCTAGAAGTGACTGCAGTGCTATAGTAAAGTTAGTTTCTAGATAAAGAGTGAGTTTTGTCTTCTTTTTCTGGTTTGACTTTTGTCTGGTAAGTGGTCCAGAACTAAGTAGTTTGCTTGGTTGTTTTCTTGTTTTGTTTTGTTTTTGTTGGTCGAGGGACTCGAACTAAGGACCTGTGTGCTATCCCTGTGGTTTTCTTTTTACTCAGGGCTAGTCATCTACTGTTTTGAGCCACAGTCCCACTTCTAGTTTTCTGGGGGTTAATTGGAGGTAAGAGGCTCATGGACTTTCCTGCCTGGGCTGGCTTTGAACCACAATCCTCAGATCTCAGTCTCCTTAGTAGATAGGATTACAGGCTTGAGTACTGGTGCCAGGCTAAGTTATTTTTCCAAGAGTTTGCAACATTCTTCCAGGTACTTGGGCTTCTCTTTCTTTCTTTCTTTCTTTTTTTTTATATTGTAAAGATACTATACAGAGGGTTACAGTTACATGAGTGAGGTAATGAGTACAATTCCTCTTGAATATTGTTACCCCCTCCA